GACACGGGGAGGTTCACCCCCTGCTCCAGGTGAGGGACCCCCTTCCCAAATCCCACCCTCCAGGCAGGCCCCCCGTTCCTGATCCCATCCTGGTGTTCCACGCCCCCTCCTCCCTTTTCCATTCACTTTGGGAGTCTCAGCTTCGCCGGCCCGGCTCCAGGTGCATCCCCTGTGCCAGCCAGGAAAAGCACCCTCACCCCTCCCCAAAACCAGGGCCGTGCCGGCTGCCCCGTTCCCACCCCAATCCCGTCGGCTCTCACCCCTTGGACTGGCCATTGGCTCGGTTTTCCGCGAATTTCAGCTCCACCACGTCGTAGACTCCGACGGAGCGGATGGTCTGGATCAGCTGCTGGTCCGTCGTCCACTGAGGGAACAGGGAATGGGATGTCTGTCCATCCCCAGTGTCCCCCACCCGCCTCAGGAATGTCACCCTCAGAGTCCCTCAGGGAGGGATTCAAATCCTCTCAGCTCCGGACAAAGCCCTGGGAATGGATATCAGAGGTCTCCCTGTTCTCTGGGCAAGATGGAGCCTTCCCAGAACTCTCCCCGTGGGAAAAGAGAATTTGGGAGCAGCTCCCAAAGGTCACGCCCATGGAGGGGCACCAGGGTGGGCACCCACCCCAAAGTGCTCAGAAGCCCCTCAGGGATGCAAATCCCTTTTTCCTGAGGATCCCAAGGCCAAGCCCAGCTCACAACCCAGTCTGGAATGCCAGGATGCTGTGGATTGAGGAGGAGCTGCCTTTCCAAATATCCCAGAACTCCCCTAAGAAACCCTGGAGCCCCCCCCAAGAGCTGAGAAACCCACCCCAAAAAGCCCTGCAGCCCGTCATGGGTTTCCTTGAAGCCCTCAGGGATACAAATCCCTTTTCCCTGAGGATCCCAAGGCCAAGCCCAGCTCACAACCCAAGATGGGATACTGGAACAGTGTGGACTGAAGAGGAGCAGCTCCCAAAAGAACCCAGAACCCCCCCAAAAGAGCCCCAAATCCCCTAAAAAGAACCCTTTAATCGCCTCAAAAGAGCCCGGCAGCCCCTCAGGAGTTTCTTTGGAGCCCTCAGGGACACAAATCCCTTTTTCCTAAGGATCACAAGGCCAAGCCCAGCTCACGACCCAGGCTGGGATACCAGGACAGTGTGGATTAAGGAGGAGCAGCCCCTCCAAAGATCCCAGAACCCCCTGAAAAGAGCCCAAAACCCCACAAAAGAACCCTTTAGTCCCCCCAGAGGGGCCTGGCAGCCCCTCAGGGGTTTCTCTGAAGCTCCTTGGGGGTTTCTTTGGATCTCTCAGGGATACAAATCCCTTTTCCTTGAGGATCACAAGGGCAAGCCCAGCTCACAACCCAGGCTGGGATACCAGGATAGATTGAGGAGGAGCAGCAGCTCCCAAAATAACCTAGAATGCTCCCCAAAAGAGCCTGGTAGCCCCTCAGGGGTTTCTTTGGAGCTCTCAGGGATACAAATCCCTTTTCCCTGAGTATCCCAAGCCCAGCTCACAGCCCGGGTTGGGACAGGGGGACAGCGTGGATTGAGGAGGAGCAGCTCCCAGCAGAAGAGCCCAGAGCCCCCCAGAACCAGCCCCAAACACCCCCAAAGGATCCCGACGACTTCCCAAATTCCCCGGGAGGGCTCACCCAGGAGAAGCTCCCGACGTAGACAGCGGCCCTCTTGTTGCGGAGCCCGCTGTAGGTGTAGAGGATGGCCGGGGGTTTGCTGTGGGCCTTGGGGGACGGCTCCGGACGCATCTCCGGAGGCGCTTCCGAGCCGCCGGAGCGCTTGTCCTGGGGCTGGGAGCTGGCCGTCAGCACGTCGTCGTACAGGTCCATCTGGTCAGCATTACTGAACTCCGGGTCCTGCCGGGAGAGCGCCGTCAGATCCCGCTTTGGGAAAAAGGCTCGGGAAGCCTCCCGTGCCATCTCCGAACCGGCCGTCCCCGTTCCCGAGCGGAATTCCCGCCCCGATCGCTCGGTTTGGGGCTGTGCGCGGTTGGGAAGCGGGGCCGTCCCTTGCCTGGGCAATCCCAAAAAAATGGGCTCTGCTTTCATGGAATCCTGGAACGGTTCAGGTGGGAAGGGAGCAGGGTCCTTAAGGATCATCCATTCCCACCCCCTACCTCTCACCTTCCCCTTATGGGAGCTGCCAGGGATGGCTGAGCTTAAATCCTTTGGGAAGGACACATGTAAATCCTGGGGGATATGGAGGCGAGGCCACCTGGATTTTGGGACTGAAGCAGAGGTTAGAATCAGAATCACAGAATCCTGGAATGGTTTGGGTGGGAAGGGACTTTAAGGATCATCTGATCCACCTTCCACTATCCCAGCTTGTTCCAAGCCCTTTTCCAACCTGGCCTCAGACACCTCCAGGGATGGGGCAGCCAAGGCTTCCCTGGAAAATCAATTCCAGGGCCTCACCGCCCTCACAGGGAAGAATTTCTTCCCAATATCCCAAAACCCCCACTGGGCTCTAGCACATTCCAAGGACCAGCCCACTGGGATCTCAGCTTTCCCAAACAGGACAAGACCCAAGCTGCTGCTCCTGGAAACCACCAGGAAGAAATTCCCACTTTGGAGGGCAAGAGTTCAATGGTGGAAAAACCAAGCCCCCTCCAGGGATGAGCCTCTCCCTCCTTGGCAGCTCATGCTTCCCAAAATTCCAGCTTGGGAGCTGCACACCCCCTCGATCCCTCCGGGAGGATCCATCCCACGGGAACGAGGCACAAGGCTGGTGTCCCATAAAAACCAGAGGTTCTGTTCCCACATTTTGAATTCCAGGCACTTTGGATAATGTTTTCCATTGGAGATGGTGTGAGGTGGATAAATCCACGCTCTGAGAGTCAGGGAATTGCAAACATCCCATTAGGAGCAAGAAAGGGAAGGATCCTCAGCACAAGGATCGTGGAAATCCCAAAATCCAACCATTTTCCCTCTTCCTGAACCTTTGCATCCGGCTCTTCCCACAGAGTTAACAAAAAGCAGGATCTGAAAAGGGAGCTGGAGTTTTGTGCTCATTCCCAAAAAAGCCTAAGTGTTTGGTTATTCCGACTCCCACGTTCCTACCTCCACCAGGAGCCTTTGGATACGGCCCAGGGCTGGGAGATTCCTGCCTGGAAGTTTCAGAAAGCGGAGAGCAAAAATAGGAAGGAGGAGGAATCACTCGGAATCCCTGAGGATACTTGGAGGATGCCTCAGCTTGGGAGTTTTTAGGGATCCTCCAGCTCCCAATCCAGGCGCACAGGGATGAAGCCCTGTGGGCACTGTTAGTGGGAATTAGCACATGCTGTGGGATTTGGAATTAACACTGGAATCCCTGGAATGCCACAGGGACACCACAGCTTTGATCCTACCATGGATTAACTCCGGGTTTCCTGGTTTCCTGCTCCCACACGTCCCAAAGGGAGCGAGGTGCCGGAGCTGTTGGCCTGGATCATCATTCCAGCTTTGAGGATCCTCTTGGCCAGTCAAGGACCTTTGGTGTATTATTCCCAAAATTCCCAGTTAAATCCTTCCACGCTGTGTGTTCCAGTTTACTCCAATCCTCCTCCCACCCATTTCACTTGCTTATTCCCAGAGATCCCAAAGCTTTTACTAAAACCACCCCAGACCCTCCAAGCTCCTCAGAAGACATTCCCATGTCAACTCCAGCCATGGATTCTCCCACTTTTCCACTTTCTACCCTCATTCCTGCAGTTTTCCAGCTCTCCCAACTCCAGGCACACCTTTTTTCCTGATGCAAATTCCATAAAAACACAAAACCTGAGGACATTCCTAAGCCGGAGCCGTTCAGTCCCAGAGCAAGGTAGTTTAATACACTGGGAATCTGGTTTATTCCAGGAGTTTTCCAGGAATGATGCTGGAGAGGTGCTTGGAAGTTGGAAACTCCAGGCAGCACAGACAACTCCCTTTTTTTTGGTGGCATTCCCATTATGTTGTTAACTCCTGCTTCTTCCCAGGAGGCTGGAAAGCACCTGGAAGCCCCCTTGGCTCCAAGGTCATGGACACAGTTTCCTGGTTTTCCCGAAGGTCTAATCCATGGATACTCTCACCCAATAAGCAGAACAAGCTCATCTTCATCAATCCAGGAGCTCCCGGGAATTCCTTCCTTCCCAGCTCCTCTTTATCCCTCCAGGACCTCCCAGGAATTCCTCCCTCCACGGTGATTCCTTAATCCAGCTGTTTTCCTTCCACTTCCCGCGGCTTTTCCTTTTGCCAGCTTCCCTCCACAGGTTTTCCATGGCAGCTTTCCATCTTCCACCCTCAGCTCTCCCAGATCCAAAAAATTCCCTAAGATCTGCTTTTCCAGCAACCATTCCCTCCTGTGAATCCCAGACATCCCTGGGATGGGACAGGTGGCACAGGGATATCTTCCCACGAGCGATCCCACGGATTCATCCCTCTGCATCCCTTCACTGTGTAATTCCCTGGAAGTGCCTCTCCCAGCCAGGATTCCTCATTTTTCCAGGGTGCGGCTAAATCCCAAACGCTACATGACCCACGGGGAAACCCTTTAACCCCGGCCACTGGGATTTGGGAACGATCCCAGCCCTTTCCCAGCCACACCTTGGCCAAGCTGGAGGCCCCTGGGGAGGGGGTGGATCCCGATCCCGGCCCTCACCTGGGTGAATTCCTCGTCGGCGTAGATGTCAATCAGATCCACTCCCTCGGACATATTTCCAGAGGCGGGAAAAGCGGGAGCCCGGGCTGGGACCGGGACGGAGCC